ATGCAATATTCAAATTTGCATTTTTATTTTAACATACATATAATTTTATATACATTACATGTATTTTACATGACGGTGGTCATTCTCTCAAGACAATCAAATGCTCTTTTGTTCTCTCATAGATCACAGACTCTCATTAAACTGCCTCTGACCCCAAAAAACGCTCACATTGTTCCTCAGGCCTCCAACAGCCTCAAGATGATCCAAAACTCTACTTTTCTTTAGTCAATTACAGGATCAAGTTTTTTGTTTGTTTGTTTGTTTGTTGACAAATCACAGGTTCTGTGTTCATTCTCTAATTTCATCTGGGATTTCACTCTGTTTTGTTGCTTCTCATCAGAGTCTAAACACAACAATGCTTTTTTTTTTCTTTTTTTTTTTTTTTTAATTATTGTGCAAGACAAACATGGGAATACAGGGTTTAGGTGACACACAAAAAGGGATGGGATATAGTGAAGTGTGAACAAAATAACAAGGGAAAAAATAAATACATAGACATATCATTAATCATTAATAAGACTACTGCCAATATTAATAATATTAAGAATTCTATTGCCAAAAATAATTATTACTATTATGTTGCGTAATTACAACAAAAAGGGCTATTCATAATGGTGATGGTTATGACGGTAATCATAATACCAATAATGATGATAATAATAATGATGTCAACGACGATGAGGATAACAATTAGGAAAATAACAAATAACCGATAAGCATCTAGACATGAGACACTCCAACTCAGTCCGTCCACCTCCGGACAGCTCCAGTGCCACAGAACCCGTAGCCTCCACTCCTCCCCTCATCATTCCCCATCATTGCCATTAATATCGCCGTCATCATCGCTATCACCATAATGAATTAATTAACAACAACAACAATAATAATAACAACAAAGGTTGCCCCAGAAATACCACAACAATACTTTACTATGGAAACATTCATTGCCTGTGACCTAAATTAAACATTGGTCTTTACTTTCACCTTATTCACCCGAAGTGAAGTGTCACAGTTCTGTTCATTCATTTCACAGAGTAAATTATCATAGAGAATGCAAAAGACAGATTTACTGGTGTTTGCAAAGTCGATGCACACATTGTAGTGGACTGTTGCCATGGAAGCTAATGACCTACACTTAACAAACATTTTATTATGACTACAATGCTAATTAAAGGTGGAATAGTTCGTGATGATGTAATTAAATCTAATGACCACTGAACTGTTGTTTCAGCAGTTAAAAAAAAGTCATTGTTTATCACATGCAGTTTCAGTCACTCCACAGTTTTACGACGACATGCTGAACTCACAGGAGCCAGGCTGCAGTATCTGCAGAGTGATGATGTGTTTACTAGCCTTTCTGAACCAGGGATAGAACAGAGCATAGATCACAGGGTTTAGACAGGAGTTCAAATAAAACATGACAAACACAAAATTGACAACAGAAAGGCTGGTCCATGCAAGAGCAACACAATAAAACGGGCAATAAAACATTAGAAACACCACTACAAGAACACCCAGAGTCCTGGCTGCTTTCAACTCAGATTTCATTCTACCTACTGTTACTGAATGCTGATGTGTGACAGCTGCAGTGTGAGAGCGCATGGCATGAGCCTGAGACACAGCCACCACAAACACTCTCATATATAGAAGTACAATGGCTGTAACTGGAGCAATAAAGTTTAAAACAAGGTCAACCACGTCTGCAATGTAGCTGAGAACTACTGTACATTCTCCATAGCAGGAATTATGTATGCCTGGTTGAATCAAGGCATCTTTAAAAACAACACTACTGTAGAAAATTGAACAGAACCAACACAAAAAAACACAGAATTTGACTTTTGTCACAGTGATTCTGGTGGTATAATGCAGTGGGTGAATAATAGCCACATATCGGTCAGCTGATATAAGCACCATGTTTCCTACTGAAGTACTGAAAACAAGGTAGGACACATAATAGTAAAGAGAACATAAAAGGTCCCCAAGAAACCAACATTGTGCACGTCGGTAAATTTGTCCTGGCAGCGACACGAAGCCCACAAGAAAGTCTGAGACAGCTAGAGAGAGCAGGAGGATGTTAGTGGGTGTGTGGAGTTGCCTGAAAAGAGACAGAAAAGCATTGTTAACACAATAAAGCATCACAACAAGCCTTAATCAGTAATGCTGGTTGGCAACTGTTAAATTATGGTTTGATGAAGACAATTTCAACATCACATTTCAAATACACAAAGGAACATTGTTCATAAGAGACACTTGACTTTTCCAAAATGAGAAGTTAATCTCTGCCTGAAGTGGGAGACTGAGATGATGACGAGCAGGTTGAGAACGACAGTGAGGACAGATATGAACGACAGCACAATGTCCAGAAGCACAACTTCAAACCGGTGAGGTGTCGGCTTCCTGCAGGAGGAGTTGAGGAGTTCAGGAAAACAGAGCTCTGCTCCGTCCTGGATCTCCATCA